GCACAGGCTCTGGATCCGTCCCGATGAGTACAGGGGATGACTGGATGTCCCTTCTGTATATGTCAAGTTGTCGCTTATGTGAACCAAGTTTTACTACATGATACCTTTAAATATTTGTTCAGCTCTGGTTTTCTTTCTTAAGGACTCATCCCAGTGATGTGTTTGTTGGATCTATACTTTTTAATATCTGTCATTTCCTCTCTAATTTGTGCATTTTTAAATTTTCATCTTATTATATTTGCTTTTCTCATTTGTATATTCCATGTTCCCCATTGTGTCTGTTCTCACCTATGATGGTTTTTGCTGTATTTTCTTCAGTCCTGACAGCTCACGTTTCACCGCTTCCTGCTGTGTCTTTGTTTCTTCCTGGAGTTCTTTCGTTTGTGCTTCGTCATCTTCCTTTACAGAGGCAAGTGCTTTTCAAGTTTTAAACTTTAATTTGTGACAAATTCTCAGTAACAATATTTACCTATCCAATGGTGGTGGTCCCTGTATTGATTAGCTTTGCTGCTCTTTTAAAAACGTTTTATTTTGCCCGGCCTGTGTTGCTCAGTGGTTTGAGCATCAGTCCCATGGACTGAGAGGTCCCGGTTCGATTCCGTCAGGGCACATGCCCAGGTTGTGGGCTCGATCTCCGTAGAGGGCATGGAGAAGGCAGCCGATCCATTCCTATCTCTCCCTTCCTCTTTCTCTCTCTTAAAAAAAAAATCAATAAAAACATATTTAAAAATAAAGAAATAAATAAAAATGTTTTGTTTTGAATTTTGCTTATAGTACCTTTGTGTCCATGGTATGCCGATTATTTACTGTTTTAATTCATTAACTTAATGAGTTGGCTTTTCTTAGACTTGAAATTTGTAGAGGTCCCTGGGTGAGAGCTTGTGATATATGATCAGTGTATCTTTCAGATGTTACAACCCGCAGGAGCAGACTGCTTTTAGCAAAAAAATGGCTCATAAGTGTGATTCTCATGTAGCCTCACCTCATCTGTTTCTCTGAACCAAAGGAGCTAAGGGAGGGTTTTCATATCCAGCCCTGTTCACCTCTGTTTACGTCCACAGGTATAAATGAAAGATAGAGCATTTGTACTGCAGGGTAAGCGCCTCACCATCGCTGTCTTTTTGCTAGCACTTTCTGAGATGCTGCTGCTGCTGGCCTGCTCACACTCTCCATTCTCCTCACTTTTATCTTGTGCAACACGGCTCAGTCTCAGCTGTTTGGCTGCCCTTCGTATTTTGTAGGCTGGAGGTTGCATCTATCTTTGGGTTTTGCCAAATGTGGAATTTATTTGCAGAGTTATTTCCCGTAGTTCTTGTATAATATTCAAGACAAAAGGGGGAAATATATTGACTTTCATAGTTATGTTGAACTAGACTACTTAATTTAAGTAACTCCATTCTGACCAGCAGTTGATACATGTATACACCATGACTCATCTAAACACCATGGCCTTAGGGAACCGGATCCATAACGACAAAGGGATTAGTAATAGCCTTGGGAAACCCAGAAAAACCTTAAAAATACTGTGATTAATGATTGCCCTGATCTTTGTAACAGCTCCTCATGCCCTCTATCTGTATCAGTTTACCCCTTAATGACGCAAAGGCAGCATGGAGAGCATGTGGTTTTGGTCTTTATAAGTGGACTGTAAGAATGCTCACTGCTGCTGATTTGGGGAAACTATGCCACTGCAGCCTGCTGATAAATAAACAATTCATTTACAATTCAGCTGTGCATCTCTGGTTGTCTAGCTGACACATTACAACAAAGTGATGGGAAATACAGGTTTTTTGTTTGTTTGTGGGTTTTTTTTTTTCATTTTAAAAATATAAAGATGCTACAATGCCAAGAAATTGCTTAGTGTTTACATAGTTTATTTCAAATTCCTTGGCTTGGTATCTAAGGTACTCCCCAGTCCAGCTCCAACCTCATTCTACCTTCATCTCCTTCATACATTCTACACTTTTGTTGAATTGTATTGAATGATTTAGAGTTACCTGAATAGTAGTTCTTGTTTCTTGATACTTTTATTCAATTTGTTCCCTCTAGTTGGCATTTTCTTTCCACCTTGGTAACCCTTCCTCATCTCTATGGTTCTTATCATCAATTAAAATACTTTCTGGACTTCAACTTCTCCTGAAACAGCATATAATTCTTAAAACTTTCCCCCTGGTCTGCACATTGTTATAATCTCTTTGTATGTTTAACCACAATTTCCATTGCTCAGATCCTCTTAGAACTGTACAGTTGTCCCTCGACACTTTGCACTTTGACTTTCGCGGCTTCACTCTATGGAAGGTTTTTTCAAATATATTTATTAAAAAGTTGATCGAGACAGTGAAAATGATACAGTGCGTGCTTGGTTGTCTGAGTCAATTATACACCCCTGTATTACAATTACAATTAAAATTATTGTACATATGGACTTTAGGCCTATATATTCAAGAATCCCTACAAATCCTCCAATGCCAGGTGCGTCCACTCGACCACTCCTTGTGTGTGGGCAATAATTTTTTTCCCAAAAAATAAGGTGTGGTGAAACCAAGCCAATCAGAGCATGCTGTTCATGGATTGGCTGTCCTATCCTCTTCCTATCCTGGCCACTGATTGGCTCAGCCTCATGCAAGTTCATTTCTCTCATACATGATTCTACATCACTACGCATCAGAAGCATCTTTGCTCTTGTAAGTGTTTGCAAATTCTGAGAACTTTTATCTAAGCCCCACAATGGCTCCTAAGTGTGCTTCTTCTTCTAAGCCTTCTGTTGATGAAACTAAGCGCCAGAGGAAGATACTTACCATCCAGGAGAAGGGGAAACTCTTGGATATGACCAAAGATGGCAAGAAAATCATGGAGGTTGCCCGCCATTACGGCTTGAATGAGTCTGCCGTTCACTCCATCTGTAAAAATGAAAAGAACATCTGTGCAATGGCTACTGTCTCTTTCAACAAGGAAGCAAAGTGCATCGTGACAAGTTGTAATAAGTTCATAGTGAAAATGGAATCTGCCCTAGCCATTTGGATCAGCAACAGCCGCAAAAAAACCATTCCGTTGGATTCCGCTGGTCATCCTGGAGAAGGCGAGGCAGCTCTATCAGTACTTTATGGTAGACAGACCTCAACCAGGACCCTCTTCTGCAATGTTCATGGATTTCACGGCGAGCAAGGCTTGGTTCGAGAAGTTCTAGAAGAGGTATTCTCTGAAGAGTGTGCTCTCCACGGAGACCCTGCCTCTGCTGACCAGCCTGCAGCAGAGGACTACGTGAACAACACCCCAGAGGATGCAGGCAACTCAGCAGTGGATAAGGCAGTTAGGCTAGCCTGGATGCTGGAGGAGGTTTCATGGATATGACATGATGACGCAGGTGAGCTGCTGGAGACACATTCAGATCCCGTAACTGATGAGGATCTGGTGGAGATGACTAAGTCTGCGAGTGAGGAAGAGGAAGAGCAGCCAGAGGTTCCTGGGGGTCAGGAGGAGGAAGCTGGCCTTATACGTGATTGTCTCTCTCAAGTCGTGAGAACTATTAAGGTAGTACAGGACATGACTGAGGAAGGGACCCACAAATGATGCGTGCATTGCAGTCCTGGAATGCACTTGATGGAGCGATAGAACCCTACAAAAGCCTCCTCACGCACATGAAAAGACAGCGCCAGCAACTGCCTGTCACAATGTTCTTCAGCCGCGCACCCAGACACCCACAGCCTCCTCCTAGTGCTCCTTCAGCGGAAGACGACGACGCAGCTGCTGAAGACACTGCACCACCTGAAGACTCTCCTGAGGTCGTGCCTTCAGAGGAGCAGTAACTTGCTCTTCTTTGCTGTGCAGTACATCTCTTCATCTTCATCGCTTCTTCATCAAACAAGTTGCACTATTTTCATAGGTTAGTGGTTGTGTGTAAGAACTGTGTGTGTGTAATTAAATGTACAATAACAATACGATATTTGTAATGTCTGATATGTCTTTTTTCTCTTATTTTGTCTAATATATTAGGTAATATGAGTGTAATGGTGATTAAAGTGTGTTATTTCATGTCTACAGGGCTCTAATAATGTTCAAATATGAGTGTAATGGTGATTAAAGGGTGTTATTTCATGTCTACAGGGCTCTAATAATGTTAAAAAACATACTTAGAAGGTTGTAAATAGGTTTTCTATGCTCTAACTGCGAAAATATTCGATTTATAAATAAAGAATCCTACTTCGTGGAAATTCATTTATCGCGGTAGAGTCTGGAACTGATTAACCATGATAAACAAAGGCCGACTGTATTCTACTGTATATGATATTTGGGTTATTTGGATACTGCTCCTACTTTGTACCAGTTGGAAGAAAAACTGTGACTTAGTTATATTTGTGCCCCAATTATGTCTAAGCACAGAATACTATGCATAACATACATTCAATAAACATTTGCTGAAATGATAAAATTAAGCAAAAGGCCAAAATTATTTTTTTGAATGCACAGCCCAATTTCCTCCTACTTTTCACTGATTCACAATTTAACCACTCATGGGGCTAATTTGGCTCATTTTTTTTCCTGAAGCCACAGCTCCCTGCAGATCAAAGCATCTTATGAGCATGTGATTGCGCTGGTTTAGTCATGAAGGCAGTCAAACTGTGTTTTGATTATTTTAATTGTCTTATTTCAATACAGAATAATTTGTTCTTGGATTTTTATGAGTCCTTGATATCTGTTAAGTATATTAAAAACAAAAATGAGAAAGAATCTTTTATAATCTTCTACAGTTAAATGGTGGATCTCTATCATGATACAAATACATTTAATAGAACCAACTCTGTTAAAATTTAACTTTTAAATTTAAATTGAAGTCAAAGAAACAGCAGAAGCTTAAGCAAATATTTCCTTCCAAGCCTCTAGGTATTAAAAACATAGAATTTTATAAATAAAGTGAACCTTGAATATTTTCTCCCCACTATTTCATTTAATTGGATCCTTTTCAAGTATAATTTATATGTCATCTTCTTTATCATTTTTAGCTTTGAAAGCTGTATTTGTTGAGAAAAACCTGTTTTCCAAAGACTTTCTGGATCGCGAAAGAAGAGGCAAGCAATTATGTCAAGAAACAAGTAGTGAAGTGAAGATGAAAAGAAATAAGAAGCAATTATAACTGAAAGAAAAATAAATATTTCATTGACACATAAAGTATGTGTATGAAATGCAGACAACAAATCAAAATTTTGCCCCACTTTTTTCCTTTATATTTCAACTTCTGAAAGTTTTATTTTCAGACAATTTTTGTTCATTACCTTTCACTTTCTATTTTCAGTAACAGAAAAACTGGACTAAAGAGGGAGCAGTATCCATTGGCATTACCTAATCTCAAATGTTTTTATATAAAGAAAGGTACAATTTCAGAACAAAGCATTCTGACCAGTTACAACTTTGGTTGCTTCTATAGACAAACATTTTGGTCAATTTTTATTGTAAAACCTGCACTTAAATTAAACATGAAAAATACTGACACAGTGAATATCTATAAACTTGACTAAGAAAATCATGCCCACTTATTTACACTTTCTAGGTTTTTTTTTTTTTTTAAATGATACGAACAATACAATTAGACCTTGTCAGTAGTAGCTGTTTTATTAATTCTTATTGACTTTCAGCCATTCTTATATGTAGTTATTGAGAAATGACTGCATAAGTTCCAGTTCTATACTTTGTTATTCTGTCCTCTAGAACTGAGTGGTATAGTACGACCAGAGATAAATGCCTCAAGAAAAAGTTCTGAGGTTTTATAAATAACTCACTGTATGTGGAAGGTCAAGTAGACAATGTTTGGTTCTGAAACACAATGTATCACCTTTTTTATTCATTTTTCTTTATAAATATCATTATCCAGCAGGCGACGAATATTCTTTTTTAAAAAATTCTCGCTTAAGGATATGTTTCTATTTATTTTAGAGAGAGAAGAAGGGAGAGAGAAAGAGAGAGAGAGAGAAAGAGAGAGAGAGGAAGAGAGAAACATCAATGTGAGAGAGACATCAATGTGAGAGAGAAGTATCAATTGGCTGCCTCCTATACACGCCCCATCTGGAGATCAAACCTGTGCCCCGAGCATGTGCCCTGACCTGCAATGAAACCCGAGACTGCACAGGACGTCATTTCAACCAGCTGGGACACACCAGCCAGGGCAGGCAGCCAATATTCTTATGCTGCTTTATTTATTCTGTCCTGTAGGAATAATTAATAAATTCTCTCACATAGATTTAGTTACTGTACTTTTGTATTTTAAAGCTCCCTTTCAAAGATATTTATATTTTAAGGAGAATTTTTCAATAAAACAAAAATAAAGGAAATAATTAACAACATATAGGGGCCTACTCTGGCTAGTAACTACAAAAATTCATTGTGTTTAAGCCCCACAATAGTCATATAAAACATATCTATTTTAAGGTTAAAATCTGAGGTTTTGCATTAGAAGAGGCCCAATTACTAATGGCAGAGTCGGGGTTGGAGCCCAGATCTGTTTTATACCAAAGACCACAGCTTTTTCCCTTCACCATTTGTTTACTCACTGTTTATTACTTACAAAGTCAGTGAAATGAACTCTAACAACAGAATTTCCAGCATCAGTGGAGCGAATGTTTTAGTTTGGTGGAGAGGATGGCAGAGGAAAGGTTTTTAGAAGACAGTTGTCTATTCCATTTATAATTCATTGCATCCTCAGTCAGGCATTGCGACTTTTACGTACATTGCTTTCCTTCTCGGTAAGTGACAGTCACATATGGAGAAAATGTAGGAAAATGATAGATGTGAAAGAATTTTGAAGAATGTCTTCAGAGTGGTTAAGTCCCTAGAAAGCATGTTAAGAGGAAGAAGAAATTAGAGGTCTAGGTTTAGAAAGATAATTCATAGGAGATATAACCTGTCTTCAAATATTTCCTCAAAGCTGTAGCAAAAAAAAAGGACTAAAAGTGGCAATAATAGGCATGGTTTTAAGAAGGCAGATTCTAGGGTTGCTCCCTAACACCTGTTAAAACATGACAAAGTTACTCATTTTCCCCTTTCTTCCCACCATCACCTCCCATCTTAGTGCAGAGTGGTCGCAGCAGCCCCCTGAATGGCTATGGAAAGAAGAAGAAGCCGAGAGAAGACCCACCACATATGCTTACTGGACCCAGAATATGGGAGGGAGGGAGGGAGTGGAGATGACCAGCATGGTTGGGAGATTGATTATATTGAGCAAATAAGAACTGAATGAATAAATGAATAAAATTAGTAAACCTATTGAGGAAAACGAGCTCCAGATATCTCCCTGTTGTAGAAGGTAACTGTAAAACTAGAAAGGAGGAAAACTAGAACGAACTTTGAGGTTTTAAATTGGGACTAGAGAGATCAGTATGAACTCCTGGTTTCAGATAAATAGATACACAGATAGAATGGAATATTTAAGAGTGATAGAAAATTATGTTTTCAGCTTGCTCACATAGGATCCAGAAAGTACAAATTATAAAGCGCGCACACACACACACTCAAACACACACACATATATTGTAATGATGGATGGATAGATAAAGACAGGTATATAGATAGAGCACATGGGGTGAAATGTTAACAGCGGGGGAAACTGAGAGAGAAGAGTGGAAGACAGTAGTTCTTTGTATTATGTCAGCACTTTTCTGTTAACTTAAAAGTGTTTCAAAGTAAATTATTTTTTGAAAATGAAAATGTTGCCTTGGGACAAAGGATTCCTTGAGATGTTCAGAGTGAGGCTGAGTAACTCACAGGGATAATGTAGAGAATTCTTTCACTGGTTGGGAGATTTGATTGGATAATTCATCATTTCACACTTTGAGCATATGATTTATGAGTCATATATTGGTGACAGTACAGTAGAGTAAAATTTGAGCCACAATTTCAGAAATTTAAAGGAATATTAAGATGTTAAGGAGATGTAATATGGGTACCAAATACTTTGCGAAAGCTCTTTTCCCCATCCATTCACCTATCCAACTGTCCGTGAAGGCATAGGCAAGGGCCTGATTTGGACACCAGGTATACACAAATAAATAGAAGGTGCTTCCCTTGCCATCAGCTTTCTGAACTGAAGGCACATAAAATGCTGTGGCTTATTACGCAAAGAAGGAATGAGCACCCTAGTTTCTCTAATATAATTTAAAAATTATTTTACTAGACTTATTTTACTTTTTATACCCTTAGAGATGACTTTGTTTGAAGTGCTTAGTCTAAAATAGTCTCGTTGATATCGACAGATCTTCTCTCTATAGACTACTGCATATGCAAAGCACAAACCTGCGTGCATCCCTAATCCCTGATTCAATGCTTCTCTGAAGGGAATTAAGATGAGCTGTCTCACAAGTATATTTAATGAGAAAGAGTTTTTAAAAGTATGAATGTCTCTTTTAATGTTACTGTTTCTAATACTGAGGAACAAAACACACACAAAAGGAAAAAAAAACCGTTTAGTTATCTCTTATTCTATTTTTGTAGCTTACAGCGTCTGATTGTGTTAGGCAGGTAGCAGGGTCTTACCTATCAAATGTTAATGGAACTGAACATTTTTAAGCTATCTCTGAAATTAACATTTAGGTTTAATTATTTAAGATTCATTTTTTCTACAGTGAAAAAACGTGTCACACTGAAATAGATTGTGCCAGTCCTGGCCAGTGTGGCTCATTTGGTTGGAGCATCATCCATGCACCAAAGGGTCACAGGTTCGACTATGAGTCAGGGCACACGATCATGCATGGATCAATAATGTTTCTCTCTCTCCCCCTCCCTTCCTCTCTCTAAAATCAGTAAAAAGCAACACACAGAGTTCTTTAAAAAATAAATAGGATGTGCCATACTGTTCGGTAGGCTACTTGTTTGTAGCATGAAGTTTTACACTAAATATAATTTAAACTGCTCTTTTTTTCAGAACATTTTCCTCTTATCACCCAAACTATATGGAGCAAACTGACAAGAGGAAAAAAATACCTAATGATAATGTATGGAAGAATTCACTTTTAAGTTCTTTATTTACTAATGAGAGCACTTGATGACATGTTTTTACTTTTTTTTAAGAACTTATCTTTATTGTTGAATGTATTATAGATGTCCCCCCTCCCCTTTTCTCTCATTGACACCCTCCTCCCCAATCTGAGGGCCTGGCCCCACACCCACGTGTGGAGGATAAAAATCAGGAGGACACCTCGCCTGGGAAGGTCCTCCCTGAGGACTGAGGGGTCCCCGTCCCACACCAGGTGCCCCGTTCAGGGCTCCAGTGCCAGGAAGAGAGTCCCCATAACTTCTGGCTGGAAAATCCAGCGGGAACTGAGGCTGAGGGAGGCTGTGGCTGCTGGAGCTCCAGGCAGCTCCTCTTAAAGGGTCTGCGCATGGACTTATCGGACTCGCTTCCTCTGAGCTGGAGTTCAGAAGGGAGGCAGCTTGAAAGGCACCAGAGACATGTGGGGAAGAACTGAATTGTTCAGCACTGGGGCGAGAGCTGGAGGGACAGCTTTCTCCTGGATGGACTCACTGTGGAAGGCCATTGTTCCTTTGATGAGCCCTTCCCTGGGGTAGCAGATGGCCACCATCTTGACCGGAAGTCTCTTGATTACATGTTTTTAAAGTTTTAAATTCATTTTTACTTTTTAAAAACTAAAAAATGCTAATAAATACTAATTAAAGCTGATTATAAATTATTAATAAATTTTAATTAATAAGATAATGAGATGGAACCTGTAACCCCTTGCTATTATTTTTTTCCTGATGCTCTAGGGGAAAAATAGAATTGTAGAAAGAACAGATTTGTACAAATATTTAAAGGTTTGCAGTAATATTTTATGGACAATTTTGGTATCTTTCTTATTGATTAAAGAGCTTAAACCAGGGAGGACTTCACAGACACTGTCTGCTTGAACTGTTCTAACATAAGGTCCTTACAGAACAACTTCATTAAATGATCTTACTATGACAGAGTGTCTGTCTTTGTCACTGGAAGGAAAAATAATGGCCTGTTCCTGGGTACGTCACATTATGATCTGAACATTGTAGACATAATGATTTGGTTACCAAGTGTACTTGTGATGGATGTTTGCTGGTGTCACTGCTTGGGTAGAAAAACATTGATTGAATGATAGTCTTAGACATTCAGATTTA